ATTGGTGCTGGTGGCATCTGATGACACTTATTTTTGCAAATTAAAAGAAATTTAGCAGTTTCATGTTTTGCTGATTTAATATTTTCTCCTGTTTTTTCATTTAAAATTGTTTTTTTCTTGGGGGGGGGGGGGGGGCAAGTAACTTGTCTTGCCTAGGGAGCAATATAGTCTAGCCCTGGTTCTGGGGGTGAAGAGAAATCTCTTTTTTTGGGGAGAGGTTTACAGGTTTACATCAAAGGAGAGAGGGAAATTCTCATCTTTGTTGACAATGAAAACATGGAAGGGGGAAGAGGAGCAGAGGCAGAGGTTCTGTAAGAGGCTTCTAAAGAGGAAGGTTCCAGTAGAGGAAGGTATTTACCATTTAAGTGGGACAGTTCTTCGTGAGGTTGAACCACTGTGCCGGTGTGTTCCCAAAGTGCTTTGGGCAAAACGTTTTTTTGTAGTGTAGCTGCACTTTCCTATAGACTATGATGTCCCGCAGTTTGGGAGCGGCTTAACCACTTGCCGTCCGCCTGCTGTTTATAAACGGCAGGACGGTGGCACTCCAGGGGCGGGATGCCGTTCATAAACAGCACCTGCCATTTCTAGCTGTGCGAGCTCCCTGGGAGCGCGCGGCACCCGCGATCCGGTGCCCGCTGTGTCCTCCGGACACAGTGAAACACCGATCATCGGACGGGACCTCTATACGAGGTCCCGATCATGTGATCACATGCAAAGTAGTAAGCAAGATGACACTTGTGACATCATTGCTTACTACGTGTGAAATCTGTGAATGATCACAGAGGTCACATGGTACAGGGCTATTCACAACAGCCTTGTACCATGTGACAAACTGTGACCAATCACAGCTCACTCAGTATTTCTCAATGGCTGCAAGAATGCAGACAGAGAGAGAAATGATTGCTTTTACATCCTATATGGGTGTAAAAGCAATCACTGTAAAAAAAAAAAAAAATCCATGGTGACACTGTACTGCTAGGGTGACAGTATGTAAAAAAAAAAAAAAACATAAAGAATAATATAAAAAAATAAAATAAAAATGTAAAAAAAAGTTTAAAAATTATACTTTTTGGTTATAAACTAATTTGGCTTATTTTGTTTTTACTAAAAATATAACGGAATACATTTTGACCAAGATTTATGATGAAAGATTATTTATTTGCAAAATTTTATAAGAAAAACACTTTTTTTCAAAATTTTTGGACTTTTTCATTTACATAGCAAAAAAAATTAAAATCCCAGCGGTGAATAAATACCACCAAAATAAAGCTTTATATGTCTCAAAAAATGGTAAAAAAGTCATATGGGTGCAGTGTTGCATGACCGCGCAATTGTCATTCAAAGTGTGATAGCGCTGAAAGCTGAAAATTGCCCTGGACAGGAAGGAGGTAAAAGTGTCTGGACTGGAAGGGGGGGAAAGCGTCCGGACTGGAAGGGGGGGAAAGCGTCCGGACAGGAAGAGGGGGAAAGTGTCCGGACTGGAAGGGGGTGAAAGTGTCCGGACTGGAAGGGGGGGAAAGCGTCCGGACTGGAAGGGGGGGAAAAGCGTCCGGACTGGAAGGGGGGGAAAGTGTCCGGACTGGAAGGGGGGAAAGTGTCCGGACTGGAAGAGGGGGAAAGTGTCCAGACTGGAAGGCGGGGAAAGTGTCCGGACTGGAAGGGGGGGAAAGTGTCCGGACTGGAAGGGGTGAAAGTGTCCGGACTGGAAGGGGGGGAAAGCGTCCGGACTGGAAGGGGGGGAAAGCGTCCGGACTGGAAGGGGGGGAAAGTGTCCGGACTGGAAGGGGGGAAAGTGTCCGGACTGGAAGAGGGGGAAAGTGTCCAGACTGGAAGGCGGGGAAAGTGTCCGGACTGGAAGGGGGGAAAGTGTCCGGACTGGAAGGGGGTGAAAGTGTCCGGACTGGAAGGGGGGAAAGTGTCCAGACTGGAAGGCGGGGAAAGTGTCCGGACTGGAAGGGGGGGAAAGTGTCCGGACGGACTGGAAGGGGGTGAAAGTGTCCGGACTGGAAGGGGGGAAAGTGTCCGGACTGGAAGGGGGGAAAGTGTCCGGACTGGAAGGGGGGAAAGTGTCTGGACTGGAAGGGGGGAAAGTGTCCGGACTGGAAGGGGGAAAGTGTTCGGACTGGAAGGGGGTGAAAGTGTCCGGACTGGAAGTGGTTAAGGAAGTGCAACAAAGATGCAGCATGCAGTAGTTTTGCTGCGCTTTTTGAAACTGCACCAAAACCATAGGACCTCATAAAAGTCCTTTGGGGAGTGCCGCTAACAAGCACAAAACCCAAGGGTTAGCTGCGCTTTAGCAAAAGAGCAGCTGGACCGCAGTGGGGCAGTACGAAGCTCCCCTTAAGATATTAGATAAAGGAATTACATTTTCACTGGAAAAAATAATTTAAAACATTTCAATACATACGAAACACAAACATTTGATATACAGCGTATGTACCGTATTTTTCGCACCATAAGACGCACTTTTTTCCCCCAAAAAAAGGGGGGGAAATGTCAGTGCGTCTTATGGAGCGAATATGGAGCGGCCGGTCCGGTATTTCCACTGCCGCCGTGTCAGAATACCGGGCCGGCCGCTCAGCTCTACAGCGGGACCTTATAGAGATGACTGCTGACCTTTGGGGAGGGGGGGGGAGCGGGTACCTGAATTTGACAGATACCCGCTCCCACTTCCGTGGAGTTGTTCTTTCATCTTACCCGTTCCTCTATCCAGCCGCGCGGTCTTCCCGGCTTCTGTAGTGTGGGCATGACAGCCGGGTGCCAAGTGCGCATGCGCAGGAAGCGGTGCTTTTTGTGAATGGTAAGGCGGCACCTGGGACACATGACAGATCCCAGAAGCCGCCGGACCAATCACAAAGCGCAAGTGCTTCTCGCTCATGCGCACTGGGCACCCGGCTGTCATGCCGAGCGCCATTACAGAAGCCGGAAAGACAGCGCGCGGCTGGATAGAGGAACAGGTAAGATGAAAGAACAACTCCGCGGAAGTGGGAGCGGGTATCTGTCAAATTCAGGTACCCGCTCCCCCCTCCCCAAATCAATTCATCTCCTGTACTATCCACAGTCTCTGGTCATCCCTGTGCTCTCCGCAGTCTCTGGTCATCCCTGTACTGTGTCCGCAGTCTCTGGTCATCTCCTGTACTGTGTCTGCTGTCTCTGGTCATCTCCTGTACTATGTCTGCAGTCTCTGGTCATCTCCTGTACTGTGTCCCGCAGTCTCTGGTCATCTCCTGTACTGTGTCCGCAGTCTCTGGTCATCTCCTGTACTGTGTCCGCAGTCTCTGGTCATCTTCTGTACTATATCTGCAGTCTCTGGTCATCTCCTGTACTGTGTCCGCAGTCTCTGGTCATCTCCTGTACTATGTCCGCAGTCTCTGGTCATCTCCTGTACTGTGTCCGCAGTCTCTGATCATCTCCTGTACTGTGTCCGCAGTCTCTGGTCATCTCCTGTACTATGTCCGCAGTCTCTGGTCATCTCCTGTACTGTGTCTGCAGTCTCTGATCATCTCCTGTACTGTGTCCGCAGTCTCTGGTCATCTCCTGTACTATGTCCGCAGTCTCTGGTCATCTCCTGTACTGTGTCTGCAGTCTCTGGTCATCTCCTGTACTATTTCTGCAGTCTCTGGTCATCTCCTGTACTGTGTCCGCAGTCTCTGGTCATCTCCTGTACTATGTCCGCAGTCTCTGGTCATCTCCTGTACTGTGTCTGCAGTCTCTGGTCATCTCCTGTACTATGTCCGCAGTCTCTGGTCATCTCCTGTACTATGTCCGCAGTCTCTGGTCATCTCCTGTACTATGTCCGCAGTCTCTGGTCATCTCCTGTACTGTGTCTGCAGTCTCTGGTCATCTCCTGTACTATGTCCGCAGTCTCTGGTCATCTCCTCTACTATGTCTGCAGTCCATTAGTTCAGAATTTTTTTTTCCTGTTTTCTGCCTCTAAAACCTAGGTGCGTCTTATGGAGCGAAAAATACGGTAGTTAATTTATTTCAGCATTTCAATTTTAAAAGTGAAACTCATTTATTCTATAGATTCATTACACGCTCAGTGATATATTTCAAGGAGTTTTTTTCCTTTTAATTTTGATGAATAAGGCTTACAGCTAGTGAAAACCCAAAATTCAGTACCTCAGAAAATTAGAATATTGTGAAAAAGTTCAATATTGTAGACTCACGGGGGGAGATTTACTAAAACTGGAGCACTCAGAATTAATGGAACGTTGATTGGAAGGAAAAAGTTTGGTAGAAAAAGATGCACAAGCAACAGGGATAACCACAGCCTCCCAAGACATCTTGCTCTCTTGCTCCCTTGCCACCTCCTCCCATGCTTGCCAGGACTTCTCCAAAACTTCTCCTATCTTCTGGAACTCCCTACCCCAGTATGTCCAGTCAGCCCCCACCCTGTCCGCCTGTAGACCAATCTTTGAAAACTCACTTATTCAGGGAAGCCTACCCTTCCTTCACCTAAGAACTGTACTCGAGTCACCACCATCAGGTCATCCCCCACAGCTATCTCCTTTTGTACCCCTTCCTTCAGATCAGGGCCTCCAAACTTTTGAAACAAAGGGCCAGTTTACTGCCCTTCAGTCTTTACGGGGGCCAGATTGTGGTCAGTGGGAGTAGAAAATGCCTTGGGCTTGGTTTACTAAATGGAAGTAAAAAACAAAACATATAAATGAAAGTGTGAGTGGAAGAATGGGAGGAATAGTAAATCCCATAATTGGTGTCAGTGGAAGGAATGATACCCCATAAGTGATGTCAGTGGGAGGAATAGTGCCCCATCATTGGTATCAGTGGGAGGATTGGGGCCAATAGTGCCCCATCATTGGTTTCAGTGGGAGAAATAGAACCCCATAATTGTTGTCAATGGGAGGAACAGTGACCCATCATTGGTGTTAGTGGGAGAAATAGTGCCCCAATCATTGGTGTCAGTGGAGAAATAGTGCCCCAATCATTGGTTTCAGTGGAGAAATAGAACCCCATAATTGTTGTCAATGGGAAGAACAGTGCCCCATCATTGGTGTCAGTGGGAGAAATAGTGCCCCAATCATTGGTGTCAGTGGGGAGGAATGGTGCACCTTCATTGGTGTCAGTGGGAGGAATGGCGCCCCATAATTGCTGTCAATGAGAGGAATAGTGCCCATAATTGGTGTCAATGAGAGGAATAGTGCCCCATAACTGGTGTCAGTGGAAGGAATTGTGCCCCATAATTGGAGTCAATGGGAGGAATAGTGTCCTAATTATTGGTTTCAGTGGGAGAAATAGAACCCCATAATTGTTGTCAATGGAGAGAACAGTGTGCCCCATCATTGGTGTCAGTGGAGAAATAGTGCCCCAATCATTGGTGTCAGTGGGAGAAATAGTACCCCATAATTGGTGTCAGTGGGAGGAACAGTGCCCCATCATTTGTATCAGTGGGAGGAATAGTGTCCCATCATTGGTGTCAGTGGGAGGAATAGTGTCCCATCATTTGTATCAGTGGGAGGAATAGTGCCCCATCATTGGTGTCAGTGGAAGAAATAGTGCCCCATCATTGGTGTCATTGGGAGGAAGAGTGCCCCATCATTGGTGTCAGGGGGAGGAAAGGTGCCCCATTGTTGGTGTCAGCAGGAGGAATAGCGCCCTGTCTTTGGTGTCAGTAGAAGGGATAGTGCCTCGTATTAGTGGAGTGACCCAAGGGCCAGATACAGGCAAGCAAAGGGCCACATCAGCCACCCAGGCCACAGTTTGGAGACCCTGTTTTGGAGTCCTATGGTAATGCACTAGTCTGGTGTGCTTTCTTCCTATATTTGCTTAACCTGGAAAAACAAAGACTGCTGTGTTAACGCTACTGTCATATTGTATCATACAGTATATGTCTTTCTTTTTTTTTGCCTAGAGTTCCATTTTAAAAATATATAACACATTACCAGATCATACTACCTATGGATATTATTATAAGCAGGAGATATGGTGAGCCCTTTGGAGTTTGAACATCTTGTTAATCTGAAGACTGTACAAAAGAAATACAATGGCGAAGCACACATCACAGAAAAGTCTATCAGTGTTGAGAAATAATCAATATTAGCTGATTTCTGAAGACACTAAACATAGAATCCGGTATTGTGAAACGGGAACAAAGTTAAAACAGCTGCCATGGGTACAAAACAATTAGGTTTCCTCTTTTCAATACAATCCTGAATCAGACTCATTACTGCATTGTTTGCTCTAATGCAGGCCATACACAGGTAGACTTCTGAACTCATTTTCCTTAGAAATTCAGAAATGTTGTGCATTTTGTAATCCTATGTGTGACGGGAGTGACTTTGGGTGGGGGGCCCATGGAACACAGCCCCTTTGGAGAGATGGGGAGACCTCTGTCTCAGCTCCCCATATCTCTATTATGTGTGAGTCACCCTGTGCCTGTTAGAGGTACAGGGTGAAATGTCCTGATATTGTTTAGACATGTATAGGTGGGGTGTGGGGGTTCAAAAAAAGAGGGGTTGTGAAAAGAAATTCACAAAGAAAGCGGCTACATTATGAACAGAATGTGATACTCAGAAAAATTTCCAAAAATTATGCTTTATTACACATACAAATTTGACATATGGGCAATCGCCCTGGTTTACCATCACCTCAGTATGAGACAATACACACAGACCTAAAACCATATAAAATGACACCAGTACCCGTCTAAATACCTGTGCAAAAAGGAAAATGACTACAAGAGTCTAAAGTCCCTGTGGCACTGGCGCATAGGTGAACACTTCCCAAAGGAGGTGTATACAAAAAATTATACCATAGGTATACCATAACACATGTTATAAATGTGTAGACTATGCTACTACCAGAGTGGTTATATCCCAAACAGGGAGTTTCAAAAAATTATACCATAGATATAAATATCACATGTATGCAGTACAGCAAGCACAGTATGCGTCAAAAAGAAGGCATGCCTCTAGGCCTATATGAAACAAAACATAAATGTCATGTAAATGATGCAGTACATTCCTATGCCAGCACAAGTGGTTGGGGCCCATTCATCTGTGATTATTACCAGCTGTTTCCTAGGGCTCTTGAATAAAATATGCCCCATTTTTTACCAGGATGGAAGGGTAGATGCATAAAGCAGCGCACTGCTTGAAATGGTTTCTTCACCACTACATGTGGACTACATACCACTTTCTGTGAGAAAAACAAGACCCATCCCAATAGATCTTCTGCCTGTTGAAATACATGTAGTATATCTTGTTTCCTATACAAAGCACCATGATGTCCCCATCCTGTAGTGAAACAGACAATATGTGGAAAGTCACTGAAAGAGCTTACACTCTGTATAGGATATATAGGTCATATATGTCACATAGGACCATATATCTAATGTCCCGCAACAGTCCACTCACCACCTGTGCAATGGATAATAGGAGAAGAAAGAAGAATATCCTTCATAGGTATTGCCATATAAGGCCGAGGAGGCCAGGGAGCCACCGCTGAACATCCGCCGATATACCGCGGGCTCCAGCCTCTTCTCGGCGCTGTGCTGCCTAGGCTTGCCTCATGGCATGTGAAAATGGCTTCCTCCTTGTAGGTCAGCGTGCGTTCCACCGAAAGTGCGCATGACCGGAAGTGACGTATCTGACGTATGACGTCAACGCGTTTCGCCGATGGGCGTATCTCACTCAGCTTCGTCAGGACCAATGAGACAACTGCATTTCAATTTCCTATTTATAGTGGGTTAAGACCCACCCATTTATGCAAAAGAGATACGCCCATCGGCGAAACGCGTTGACGTCATACGTCAGATACGTCACTTCCGTCATGCGCACTTTCGGTGGAACGCACGCTGACCTACAAGGAGGAAGCCATTTTCACATGCCATGAGGCAAGCCTAGGCAGCACAGGCGCCGAGAAGAGGCTGGAGCCCGCGGTATATCGGCGGATGTCAGCGGTGGCTCCCTGGCCTCCTCGGCTTATATGGCAATACCTATGAAGGATATTCTTCTTTCTTCTCCTATTATCCATTGCACAGGTGGTGAGTGGACTGTTGCGGGACATTAGATATATGGTCCTATGTGACATATATGACCTATATATCCTATACAGAGTGTAAGCTCTTTCAGTGACTTTCCACATATTGTCTGTTTCACTACAGGATGGGGACATCATGGTGCTTTGTATAGGAAACAAGATATACCACATGTATTTCAACAGGCAGAAGATCTATTGGGATGTGTCTTGTTTTTCTCACAGAAAGTGGTATGTAGTCCACATGTAGTGGTGAAGAAACCATTTCAAGCAGTGCGCTGCTTTATGCATCTATCCTTCCATCCTGGTAAAAAATGGGGCATATTTTTATTCAAGAGCCCCTAGGAAACAGCTGGTAATAATCACAGATGAATGGGCCCCAACCACTTGTGCCGGCATAGGAATGTACTGCATCATTTATATGACATTTACGTTTTGTTTTTTTTTTACATATAGGCCTAGAGGCATGCCTTCTTTTTGACGCATACTGTGCTTGCTGTACTGCATACATGTGATATTTATATCTATGGTATAATTTTTTGAAACTCCCTGTTTGGGATATAACCACTCTGGTAGTAGCATAGTCTACACATTTATAACACGTGTTATGGTATACCTATGGTATAATTTTTTGTATACACCTCCTTTGGGAAGTGTTCACCTATGCGCCAGTGCCACAGGGACTTTAGACTCTTGTAGTCATTTTCCTTTTTGCACAGGTATTTAGACGGGTACTGGTGTCATTTTATATGGTTTTAGGGGTGTGGGGGTTGTTCATTGTTTACTGCCATGTGGTCCCATTGTTCTATTGTGTCTTGCTTGTGAGCAAACTATTATGGGATGTATGTGTTTATGTGTATTGACTTGGTGGGGGGTGTTTCCAGCAGCCCTCCTGACAGGGCTGTCTGTTGGGATGTGTCTCTTGTTACTAAATGTATTGCCCCGCCCTGTATATATCTTGTATCTATGTTAAAATAAAGCAGTCAGCGGTGGTGTCCGTGGATCTGTGTTCGGACAGGGAAGCGGGAGTCTAATGGAAACACCCAAGTGCAGGCGGGGTCCGGTTCCGTTTCACTATGGTTTCACTGTTGATTTTGAAATTCAACCAAGCCTTCAATTTCACATGTTGCTACAGAAAATAATTTCTGTGGCCAAGAATTTTCTGTTCTTTCCAGGTCACAGCTCACGCTCATTTCTTTTTCGATTACATTTCTCGCAAGATTCTCCCATCATTGATTAGAAATTTTGTTTGTTTATATAAAAAAAATTTCCAAGATGCCCGATCACTCAATTTCCAATGGCCGCTCGGAATTGGCCTGTTGCTGCAGCTCACTAATGGTGCAAAACTCTTAGAAAAGATTTTATTTTAAAGAAAATGATTTTGGAATTTAACCCGTGCATGGCTGATTTAACTGTCTCTCTACAATCCAGCAGCACAATTATTAAACACTTGCTGTCCAGGGCAGTCTTTTAATTCTCACACACACGTTAAAATCAGAATTTTTTTGCTAGAAAATTATTTACAACTCCTCAAACGTTATATATTTTCTGAAAGCAGAGGCCCTGGAGAATAAAATGGTGTCTGCTGACATTTTTTTAAGTCACGCAATATTTGTGCAGCTATTTGTCAAATACAAATTTTTAGGAAACAATACACTAGAAGGAATTCTATCGCACACAAACACAAAATAATGGCAAAGCTCTAAATAAGATATAAACAATATTGTTGCTTCATGCAAATGGGTACCAAACATGTGAATATTTATTGTGAAACTGTGATACCTAAAATTTTTCATAGGTGTCACTTTAAAAGCCTTTACAGGCAATCAGTTCAGAGTTAACTATGAATTGTGGCCCTAGATGTATTGCGCTCATGCCAACTTTCATGGTGATAACTTGATTTCTATCACAAGGTAGCTAACAAACCGCCTTGTGATAGCTTTGGTTAGAAGGCATCAGGGGTCTATTAGACCCTTGATGTCTCCCCTGCCCTCCAAAGCATCTAACCGAGAGCCAGAGGCGTAACTAGAACCTTCAGGGTCCCAATGCAAGAAACCATGAAGGCCCCCCCTATCCTCTGAGCCCACTGATGGAACGCCAGGGCCTGGTTGGAAGTGTGACCTTTGCGACCCTGGTAGTTCCACCACCTTTGTCAGTCGTTTTTTTATTTTTGGTATTTAATTTTTGTTTTACCATTTAATTTAATTTAATTTAATTTTTTTCCAATATTATTTTTTAATATTTTTTACAATTTTTTATGAGCCTTGTTGGGGGTCTTTGGTGAGTCTCAGCAGCACAGAATGAATGGACAGGAATAGTT